ATGGTGAAACTCTGTCTCTACTAAAAAAAAAAACAAAAATTAGCTGGGCATGGTGGCAAGCACCTGTAGTCCCAGCTACTTGGGAGGCTGAGGTAGGAGAATGGCTTGAACCTGGGAGGTGAGGGTTGTAGTGAGCCGAGATTGCACCACTGCACTCCAGCCTGAGCTACAGAGTGAGACTGCGTCTCAGAAAAAGAAAACAATCCAAATTGGAGAATAATTTGGCAACTCCTAGGAAGTAATCCAGCAATGGCTTTCTAAGTTTTTACTCTAGAGCAGGGCTTTTCAAGCTTTTTGACAGGTATCCTCAATAATAAATATATTGTGACCCATAACACACATACCACACAACAGATGACTTTCACCCTACTAGTTACCCTGATGATGTATTACAAACATTGATACTTTCTAGTCAATTTTGAGTTTTAAAAATGCTGATCTTCAAGGACTAAGTTGATTTCCTATTGCATTAATGGGCCTCAATCCACAGTTTGAAGGACACTGCCCCAGAGACACACATGCATGTGCACAAGGAGACAAGAATGCTTACTGCAACATTGTTGCAATAGCAAAACTTAGATAAGTATTTATCTAAGACCTGTCACCAACAAAATGGAAAAGTAATTAAGTAATTGTGTTGTGGTCAAGAAGTAGACTATCACACATAGCTATGTATCAAAGGATGGACGCAGGGTGATAACATTTATACAAGAATAAGATCCTGCAAAGTGATATCATGCATTGTTTATGGATACATTGAAATGCCATACAAACATAAAAACCTACCTGAAATGAAACCCACCCAAATCAGGATAGTGGCTGTCTCTGGAGGGAAAGAACGTAGTTGAAGAGTGCATGAGACGTGAGGAGCTTCAACTGAATTTTTTGTTTGTTTTTTTTTTAAGACAGGATCTCACTCTGTCACCCAGAGTAGAGTGCGGTAGCATAATCACAGCTCATTGCAGCCTTAACCTCCCTGGGCTCAGGTGATTCTCCCGCTTTAGTCTCCCATGTAGCTGGGACTACAGGTGTGCATTTTTTTTTTTTTTTTTTTTTT